CTCTATCATCATTGGGAAACAGCTATCCCACACATATCTCTCACCAGATCCCCTGAACCTCATGGAAAGACCTAGGCCCTATGGCCAAGACCTGGATTCAAATGAACCAAGAACAACTGACTTCTATGGGGATCAACAAAAAGATTATTAATTACTGTACAGCAGGGTACCCAAGGTACCACACAGAAGCCCGAGAAGACCCACTCATCATAGACTGTGACCTAGATATTCCTCATGATTGTTTTGAACAAATGAAAATGGAAACTACACACCTACCAACTGTCTATGAAGCTGCATTACTCAACCCAGACCAAACACTATTTGTGGATGGGTCAAGATTTGCTGATGAACAGGGACAATATCACACTGGGTATGCAGTCACCACAGGATGTCAAGTGTTACAAGCAGCTGCCCTACAACCAACTAAGTCTGCTCAAGAAGCCGAGCTAACAGCCCTGACTGTGGCCTGCAAATTGTCTGAAGGTCTACGTGTCAATATCTGCACAGATTCAAGATATGCCCTGGGAGTAGCACATGACTTTGGTCTAATTTGGAAAACCAGAGGATTTCTTACGGCTACCGGTACCCCAGTAAAACATGGGGCAGCCATTGCAGAACTGATGGATGCTTTAGAACTTCCAGCAGAGGTGGCAGTACTAAAAGTAAAAGCCCACGGAAGACTAGAAACAGAAGAAGCACGGGGCAACCACCTAGCTGATCAAGCAAGGATGGGAAGTGGACAGAAGAGTGGCCACCGATACAGTACCCATCTACACTATGCAAACATTGCCTACAGATCTTAGGCTTCTGAAGGAACAACAAGCTGCTGCTACTCCCCAGGAGAAACAAAGTTGGAAGAACAAAGGAGCTGTACTCCGTGATGATGTTTACACCATCAACCTCAAGTTTTGCTTACCCAGAAGTATGTACTCAGCGGTGGTCCAATGGGCCCATGGGCCAGCCCACCTGTCGAAACATCTGATGAACTCACTGATTGACAAGTATTTTGAAGCACCAGGTATCACTACCTTAACACAGAATTACTGTAAATCATGTACTATATGTGCTAAATGCAATCCTGGAAAGATTATAAAGACTGCGCCTAATCACCTAGCCAAGCCACAATACCCCTTTCAGAGGATCCAGATTGACCATATACAAATGCCAAAGAGTGGACGTTATGAATATGCACTGGTCATAGTGGACATGTTTTCAGGATGGCCAGAGGCCTTCCCAGTGACTAATCTCACCGCGAGGACTACAGCCAAGTACCTTTTGACGGAAATTGTTTGCCGATATGGAGTTCCAGAAGTGATTGAAAGCGACCAAGGGACCTCCTTTACTGCCTCGTTAACACGGGAAGTCTGGTCAGCACTGGGGGTGACCCTTGCATTCCACACACCATATCACCCACAGAGTAGTGGTAAGGTAGAGCGCATGAATGGCACTTTGAAAGCCAGAATGCTTAAAATGTCACAAGAAACTAACATGCCCTGGCCCGAGAGTCTTCCACTAGCGTTATTTAGTGTAAGGTACACTCCTAGGGGAAAATATAGCCTATCACCTTATGAGATTTTGTTTGGTACAGCACCCAGGTTACGTTGTTACTTTCCCCAACAGCTTCAGATTCAGTCAGATGCTATGGTAGACTATGTGACTGCCCTCTCACATGCCTTGACCAAAATACATGCCCAAGTGTTTTCTTCTATTCCAGATCCTGAGTCGAATACAGGTACACACAAGCTGCTTCCTGGTGATTGGGTTATGGTCAAGAAGTTTCTCAGGAAACACACCCTAGAACCAAGATTTGATGGTCCTTATCAAGTGCTCCTGATTACAGCAACGTCAGTTAAACTAGCCGGGAAGAGTTCTTGGATACACGCCTCACATTGCAAAAAAGTGCCTGCTCCAGAAGAGGCTAATCCTGCTGAAATATGAATTTATTATGTGTCTTGTGTTTTCTTATGCTGCTACACTTTACCTGGGCCCAACAAGTGGCCATAACCAAAGATAATCATGTTTACACTTTCTGGTACAATTCTTCTAACACAGATGTAGCTACGTACACCTTTGATTACTGTGACATAGTTGCTTGCACATTTCCACAAACACAATATGCAGCCATATACAAAGACATACCTAACAAGAAGGATCCATACATTTGTGTGACTGATGGAGTTTGGGGGCACCATTGTAGTTCATGGAAAGCTGCCGGGTGGAACACGGGTAGACCATGGGGCTACAGACCCCAGATTGCACTGGACAGACTTGACAAAGACGGGAAACCCCTACTTTCTAGAATGACCCTGAGTAAGCCCATAGGGTCAACTCCCATTAAACTTACCTTGAACATAGAGCACCCCAGCCCAAAGGATGCAGGGGAATATGTAATGGGAATGTACTGGAAGGGAGGTGGCTCACATAACACACTGGGGACATTTTACCTACAAGACATGCTCACCTCACCAGATTGGGTAGGGACCACACACATGATCATTAACCCGTTAAAACCACATATTAAGACCCTACATGGTAGCTATAGCCAACCCCACCTTTGAAGACACTATGGCAGTGGAGACTGGGTTTTCAGACACTAATTTGTGGCTAGAATGGATGAGGTATAATGCCAACTCACATAATAAGACTAACTGCTATGTATGTGGAGGAGCCAGGCCCCACCTGGGCACGGTACCCCTAAGTTTACCTCCTGAAATAGAACTGTTTGTGTCTTAAGCCTCTATGCACAGTCCACCACAAATTCCTCAACATGTGAATCATGGAAGAGAGTTTACCCAATCACTCATGGACATGTCAAGCCGCCTGATGGAGTCACGGTCTATCCAGGTAATTACACATGCTATTCAATACCTAAGAACACTGGTGTATATCTGGGCAAATTCCCATCAGGATACTGCTCAACTTACCATGGTCCACCGGCATCACTGTTAATGAATCATACAAAGACAATCGCTGATATCTATTGGTTATGTGGTGACAAACAATTGAGGTCCCAACTAGCTGGGCAATGGTGGGGGGAGTGTGCCCTAACCAGAGTTATAATGCCTATCCACATTATTCCAGATGGTAGTCATAACACATTAAACCTTACACATGTACATTCTAGAACCAAACGAGAGGCTCCCATCCGAGGGAGCTTCGACCCCCATGTGTATATTGATGCCATAGGTGTGCCAAGGGGGGTGCCTAACGAATTCAAGGCAAGGGATGAAGTGGCAGCAGGATTTGAATCCTTAATTCCAATGATAACTGCTAATAAGAATGTCAATTGGATCAATTACATCTATTATAATCAACAGCGCTTTGTTAATTACACAAGGGATGCCCTACAGGGCCTGGCGGAGCAATTACAAGCCACTACCCAAATGACATTTCAGAACAGAATGGTCCTAGATATGATTTTAGCTGAGAAAGGGGGTGTATGTAAAATCCTCCCTGAAACTATGACATGCTGCACATACATTCCAGACAACACTGGGCCCAATGGTAAGGTGACTATGGCCATAGAGAAGTTAGATAGTCTTTCTGACGAGCTAAAGAAGAATTCAGGAGTCACTGACACTTGGGACAGATGGTTTGGGTGGATGAATGGTTGGCAAAGGACCCTCTTCCAGGTAGGAACAGCTGTTCTTATAATGATTATCATCTTATTTTTAACCTGTTGTGTGCTCCCTTGCATACAGAAGTACTTACAGAAAGCAGTAGGGAAGACTATAGATGACGTGACCCCTACTTTCCTACACCAAGACATCACAGACCTTGAAGATGACACCCCACATACACCCCTTCAATCACATCAATTTAAACAGACAACTGCATTTCTGTAGGGACAGTGTAGGGAAAACGTCTGTCTTTACGGGCAAGTCTCACGTGCGGAGATGTGGTGGACTAGCTACTGCGGGTTACCCACGGAGTGAAGAGTTCGATGCTTGTGAAGACAGATGAGCTGCAGACAGCTAGGGATACACTAGGGACAGTAGCAAGTTGTCATAGTAAATAGCCATTTTAGGGGGGACTGTTGTGGAAATAAGGTCTGCACATATTTCCTAGTTAATGAAAATGTCTATTTACTCATTTCACTATATACAATATAAGCTATGCACACATGTTTTAATCAAGATGGCTGCTAGAAGCTTCTAACCCCTCCTTTCCTCCCCCTCCCTTTAACACCGACTAACTACATCGTGCAGCAAGATGGCGCCGGGAAACCGTGGGAGACCCTCATGGCCCTGGTGACATCACCCCCAGTAGGCAGAGCATTAGAATGACCACTTAACACCTAACCAATAATTGATGTATTATTCCATGTTATCTCTGACAATGCTTATGATGTAACTTTGCTTTAAAAGGGACCTGCCGTCCCCTCTGAATAAACATTCCTCAAGTTATTCAACAACCTGGAACCTGTGTCTGGTGTGAATTACTTCAGGGAGCGTGCACGCATTGTTTCATTGATTTGGCCAGGGGCAGATACACAAAGAAATAATCAATACCTTGATTGATTTTTCCATTTCAACGGTCATAGCTTTAACCAATCGGTTCTCAATAGGGCTGGATTAACATAGGGGCTGATGGAGCTGCAGCTCCAGGCCCAGGCCCAGGCCCATGGAATATGCCCATTTAAAAAAAAAATAATAATAATAATTTTTTTTTTATTATTTTTTTTTTTTTTTTAAATTTTTTATTTAAAGTCAGTACATTATACAGCATTTTCGTTACTGAAGTTTAACAGGTATATGAGAGTACATGGTACAGAACGTAGTTGTTACATTGGTCGGATAATCATAGAATCATACAATCATACATTTTGCAGTTCAAGATCAGATATGAGATAGTGTCTGTGCGCTGGGTGTGTAGGGATAGGAGTGATAGTAGAGGTTTACTGCCTCTTCCTGCATCCCCACGGTTGTATGCGAGCCGGCTCCTCTTCCCGGTGAAGGAAAGAGAGGGGGGGGGAGGTGGGGTGTCTTTGGTCTTAAGTGGTCTGGCGGAGGTATTGGGTCCAGGGGTACCAGGTCTCTGTGTAGTGTTGGTATTGGTTTGATAGGGCATAGCACGTTTCTTCTAGACTTCTGGTATTTTCTACTTTTTGTATCCACTCGCGTATGGTCGGGGGGTTTGGTTGTTTCCATAGGGCTGGGATAAGCTGGTTCGCCGCTGTTATCAGATGTATGAGCAGGGCTGCCGTATGTTTCGGTAAGCCGTATGGGGTGAGGAGGAATATGTATGTGTCTGGGTCTAAGGGGACAGTTATCTTGAGTATGGCGTGGATCAGGCCTGCCACGCGTGTCCAAAATGTTTGTATCACTGGGCATGACCACCAAATATGCGAGGTGGTGCCCACTGCTGAGTGGCAGCGCCAACATTGTTTGGAGGTTGCGGGGAATAGGGAGTGTAGTTTTGAGGGTGTGTAATGCCACCTCGTTATTCTTTTATAGTTACTTTCCTGTGTAGTTGTGTTTTTTGAGGATTTGTGTATTTGTTTAAAAATCCGTTTCCATTTGTCGGGCTGTATTACGAGGTTTAACTCTTTTTCCCAAGTGGTAGTGAAGGTCGGCAATTGTTGTGGCCTTGTGGATAGAATGTGGGAGTACATTGTTGATATGTGTTTTGTTCTTATGGATTGGAGGGAACAGCATTTTTCAAAGTTAGTCTGTGCACGGCTGCCGGTGGGGGTTAGGGATTTAGATTGAATAAAGTGTGTCAGTTGCCTGTACTGATACGTTTGCATAGCTGTAGGGTTAGTTATAAATGCTTGTAAGGGCTTTGTTACTTTTGCCCCGACAGTTGTCAAGGCATTCTCCAATGTCAGATATGGTGTTGTATGGAAGGCCCGGAGAGATTTGCCGTCTACTCCCGGCTGGAATAGGGGGTTATGTGTGAGCGGGTATAGTGGCGATGGGTAGGGCGACATCAGGTTGTGTGTGCGAATGGTCGCCCACATGCGAAGGGTCGGTGTGATGGTGGGATGTGGGTTGTGGAGCATGAGTACTTGCCCTGATTTGTGCCAGGGTATTGTGTAAATAGGTACTCTGAAAAAGGAGTCTTCTAAGGTCACCCATTGTTTCCCGGAATTCGGGAGGGACCAGTCGTATATCCTGGATAGTAGTATTGCGTTGTGGTATGTTTCAACATCAGGCAGACCCAGGCCGCCCCTGTCTTTAGGTTTTGTGAGTAATGAGTACGATATTCGTGGAGATTTGTGAGCCCAGATAAATGTGGTGAGTGTTTTTCGGACTGTAGTGAACCAGGACTTGGGAATAGTTATAGGGAGCACTTGCAGTATGTATAGTATTCTGGGTAGGACGTTCATCTTGAGGATGTTCGTCCTACAAAACCACCCAAAGTGTGGTACTTTTTTTTTTTTTTTTCTTTTTTTTTTTACCACACTACTGTTAGGTTTGCCACCTGACTGGTATTTTAAGGCACAGCCGGTATTTGAGGCTGCCTGGCCGTGATGGTATTGCAGTAATACTGGCAATACAAATGCAAACATATTTCTCAGTATAAACTGAGATTACTCTGCAATACCAGCACTGGCCAGTAGGGGTCACTGTGTATGGAGAGAGACAGGGATAGGAAGTTACAGCATATCCCTCCCTGTCTCTCTCTACTCACTGATCCGCAGGGGAGCAGCTACACAGCATAGAGAGTTCAGACAGCAGCTCCCAGCCTGCAGAGACAGACTACAGCTCAGAAAAGTGAGGGATGAGGGGAAAGGCAGCAGGGAGACATGGGGACACTGAGACACTAGGGGACACATGGTGACACTGAGACACTAGGGGACACTGGGAGACGTGGGGACACTGAGACACATGGGGACGCTGTGAGGCATAGGTAGACACATTGGGACACGGAGACACTAGGGACACAGTATCTCCATGTCTCCCAGTGTCCCCAGGCCTCCCAGCCAGTGTCTGAAGCTGCATGTGTGTCTGTATCTGTGTGTGTCTGTGTATCTGTACGTGTGCCCATGTTTGTGTCGGTGTGTGTATCTGTGTGTTTGTATATATGTGCATACATCTCAGCATCTCTTCAACACTACACACATATACACCCCTAGATTCTAACGTCAACATTACATACAAACACACCACTGCATTCAAACGTCAACACTACATACAAACACACCCCTGCATTCAAATGTCAACACTACATACAAACACACCTCTTTATTAAAATACCACCATTATATATAAATACACCACTGCATTCAAAAACGACACTACTCACAAATACACCCCTGAATTCAAATGCCAACACTACATACAAACACATACCTCTACATTCACTCACTCATACTCCATACAAAAACATGCTTACGTTCAAACACACTAACACTGCTCAGTGTGCTCAGTGGTAAAAACATTAAAAACATTTTAAAAAATGTTGCGGGTGTTTTACATTTTAAAGTTGGGGGGGGGGGAGAGCGGGGTACCAAATATAGGATCCGCCTCGGTTGCAAAATGCTCTAGGTACGCACTTGGGGCCCATCACTGGTTATCTCTTATCAGAGGCCCAGTCAGGTGCCGACCGGGCCCTTGCGGTGTGTAATGCTGCGGTGCTAGGAGGAAGTGAGTATAAGTAATTTCCCCCCAGCATACCAAGTTAGCACACAAAAGAGAGACAGGAGGGAGACAGACTAAGAGCCAGGACCGGAAGACAGCCTGTAACAGACTCCCATCACGTGCAGCCAGATGCCACTGGACCACAGGGAAGCCACCCTCCTGCATTAAAAAGGTATGGGGGGTGGCTAAAAATATGTAATGTGATCTTTGTGCATTTTATCTGTGTGTACATGTATATCTGTGTGTCTGTATGTGTGCCACTGTATGTATGTATCTAGATGTGTTTCAGTGTCTGTGTGTGTATCTGCATGTGTGTCTGCATGCATGTCAGTGTGTGTATCTGTATGTTGTCAGTGTGTGTCTGTGTATCTACATGTCTGTACCTTTGTATCTGTATATTAGTCTGTATGTATGTGACAGTGTATATGTGTATACATGTATTTGTTTTTCTGTGTTTCTATGTGTGTCTGTATATTTGTATGGTGTTAGTGTACTTCTGTGTATCTGCATCAGTGTTAATTTTGGCTGCAAATTTCAATTTAGTTTTAGTCATTCAGCCATTTTAGTTTAGTCGTATTTTAGTCATCTGAATTGTTTTAGTTTTAGTCTAGTTGTAGTCGACTAAATCTCAAAAAATGTAGTCGACTAAAACTTGACTAAAATTTTGTCGACAAAACTAACTGATCTGCATGTGTGTCAGTGTGTGTACCTGTATGTTGTCAGTGTGCCTGTGTATCTGCATGTCTGTACCTGTGTATCTGTGTGTGTCTGTGTATACATCTCAGCATTCAAACTCTAACACTTAACACATACACCCCTACTTTCAAAGGCAAACATTACACACAAGTAAACCACTGCTTTCAAATGGCAACAGCACATAAAAACACACAACACTACACACAAATACATTCCTACATTCACACACAGATACTTTATACAAAAACTTACATTCAAACATACAAACGCTGCTCTGTGCGAAGTACAATCCAGAAAGGATGGGCAAATGGTAGATCCCCAGCTGGCAAAGCATTGTGTCAGTTGAACAACATCTTTGCAATCAGCGGTGCCTCCCAAAAATTATTTCAACAGTGCCCTTTCTACTGTAGTTCCACCACATTCATATAACAACACAGGGGAATAATATATCAGAGGCAAACTTAAAGGGACACTATAGTTATTAGAACAACTACAGCTTAATGTAGTGGTTCTGGTGTCTATAGCCTGTCCCTACAGGCTTTTTAATGTATGCCAGGCCCGGACTGGCCATCGGGCACACCGGGCAAATGCCCGGTGGGCCGCGATGGCCGTGGGGCCGAGGCCGGCAGGGGAGATCACAGGATCTCCCCGGCCGGCCCCTGCAGAGCCAGCGCTACCCGAGCGCCGGCCCTGCTGTGTGCCTCCATGGGCCGGTGGGGAGATCAAAGATCTCCCTCACCGGCCCACAGGCACTGTTACACGCGGCCGCCGGCTGGGGAGGGAGGGAGGCAGGAGAGAGGACCCGGCAGAGCTCTAACCAGCAGCTCCGCCGGGTCCTCTCGCGGGATTCTGAGCGTTGCCGCGGTTACCACGGCAACGCTCAGATTTCGCGAGAGTGAACTCTAACCTGCAGGTTAGAGTTCACTCTCACCACTGGACCACCAGGGAAGGCAGCACGGCATTCACCTCCATGGATACCCGGCTCCCCACACCCACGCAGAACGGATCTCCCCCCTCCCAGGCTAAAGGTAAGAAGGGAGGAGGGGGGACATAACTTTTTTTTTATTATTATTATAATAATATAATTATTAATAAAATAAAAAATATATATTTAAAATAATTTCCCTAACAGCCCCCCCAGACACACACAGCGCACCCAGACACACACGGCGCCCCCAGACACACACAGCGCCCCCAGACACACAGCGCACCCAGACACACACAGGATCCAAACACACACAGCGCACCCAGACACACACAGAGCACCCAGACACACACAGCGCACCCAGACACACACAGCACCCAGACACACACAGCGCACCCAGACACACAGCGCACCCAGACACACAGCGCACCCAGACACACACAACGCATCCAGACACACACAACACATCCAGACACACACAAAGCACCCAGACACACACAGCACCCAGACACACACAGCACCCTCAGACACACACAGCACTCAGACACACACAGCCCCCAGACACACAAAGCACCCAGACACACAGCACCACACACACAGCACCCCCAGACACACACAGCACCCCACATACACAGCACCCCCAGACACACACACAGCACCCCCCAGACACACAGCCCCCAGACACACACACAGCCCACAGACACACAGCCCCAGACACACACAGCACCCCAGACACACACGTCCCCCCAGACACACACAGCCCCCCCCCAGACACACACAGCACTCCACAGAC